CGATCAGCTGAAGACGATAGAAAAGGCTAAAAGCTACAATCTTTTTGCGGCCCTTCTGATTTTTGTTGCCTTCACTTTTAGTCGCATAATAAATGGCATCCGCCGTTTTGTCCAAAGCCCTCTTTGCCTGTCGTCTCCGTCAAGGTGTATCAATACGTTCACCTTCATCGCTCTTGCATAAGTCCCAATTATTGTCTTCTTTATTCTCTGTAAGCCCAGTTTAGTTTGGTTTGTGAGATGTTGTGATTCAATTTCATAATTAACTCTTGTTTTATTTTCAGTTTTTCCAGTTAAACAGCTTTACTTTATTTTGTAATTCATGTTCGATTGTGGGTACTCACGGAAAATTTGTGGCGGATTGGAAATTCGTGATTAGCTTTGGTTTCTCGTTAGTAAAAAAAAAAATGGGTTTTTTATGAGCTGCCTGTAGTGAATAATGAAACGCTTCAAGCTGTAAGAAAGTTTTGTGGCGTACTTTGTTTTCTTCGTGATGAAAAGGCTCGGAAAGATGTCCCGAAGCTTTGAAATTTTGGACATATTATTTATTTCCTCAGCGGGTTTTTGGTTAATCTGAAGTTAAGCCTCTACACTGACATTGCTCTTTGAGTAGAAACTGTTCACTCGGTTTAATATTTTATAATATCGAGAGATTAGGGAAATTTTCTGATATTTAAAGGAACATTACATTACATATTTGTATGTAGATTAGGGACTGGAAGAATTTGTTACTTGTGTTAAGTCTTATGGAGTATTTATCTTTTTCTTGCAGACGAGGCCTTTTCACTCGTGGCCAGTTTCTTCATGTTCCACATATAAAATTCCAAGATGTATTTCACGTAGCTTGTCTTCATCAGCAGTCGCATCACCGGCTTCGTTCTCCACACAGTCCTTGTCGACTAACGAGCCTGTTGTTTCAGTTGACTGGCTCCATGCCAACCTCCGAGAACCTGACGTGAAGGTCCGCATCTTTGCTTTGGACTATGATGAGATAAATCAGATAGTGTAATATAAGTGTAGTTGTATGCAATGTTTTTTTGGTGAATATTAGGATCTTCTCTTTTCGTTTTTATGATTTTGAAGAATTAGTGTTTGTTCCATTTCTCTTTTGCTCCAATCTTTTTTTTTTT